AAATGAATCACAATTATGTGAATTAAAACAAGTTTAATCATTCAGAAAAAATAAAGTGTCATACATAAATAAAGTTTAGGGTTCAAATTTAAAAATAAAATCCAGTACAACCAATAGAATTATAACATAACATAATATATCTAATAATCTGAATATCTAGGTGAATGTTGTTGATGTTGGTCATTAGCTTGTTCATCCTCTGTTGGTTGCCGATTGCCTTGTTGTTGGTCCAAAGAGTGTAGGTGCAACTAGTAATTGGGCTAGAATTGGGCCTAGGCCAAATTTTACATATTGGGCTTGTTTTGCTCCATTTTCCAAGGAATTGATTTAGCTAGGTCTCACCATCATATGGTGAACCTAACTAAACCAACTCTAAGTTTTTGGATTGGATTAAATATGGAAAAACAAGTGGGTCACCTAGCTTGCCTTCCTTTGGCCAAAATTGCTTAGTTGCTTGTACACTTGGGAAACTTGTGCTACAAGCTTCTAACTTAGCTTGCTTCCCAAGCTTCTAAGTTAGAAGCTTGCTCCACAAGCCTCCTAAACCGTCTAGGATGGTCAAGCTAAGCTAACCATGGTTCTCTTGAACCATTGTTAGCCTAGCTTGCACAATAAGTTTCTCCCACCATATATAAACCTTTTTCTTACCTTTGTAATCACTTTTGGATGATATTTTTGAGTGAGATCAGAATTTGCACGAAAATTCTCTTTTCCAAAAGTCTTTAACCTCTTTGATATTCATTCAATTCTCTTATCCCTTTCATATAAGAGTGTGGTGAGAATTGAAGAGACTTATCTCTTCCCCAAGGAGTGACGTCTTTTGAGAGGGTTCTACACCAAACCGTGGTGCTTCCAAGGTATTTTCCTCCATTAGAGACCTTGGAGAAGCTTAAGAAGAATCAAGGAGCCAAAGGCCTAGGGAATAACTTGAAGAGGAATTAACATCAATCCGGTTTCTCTACAATGTTTCCATCACACATCTCACCTCGACCTTCATATAGCCACCCTTAAAATTTTCCACTTTTTCCCTCTCCTACAAATTCTACAATAATATCTTGCATCCCTAAATTAAAAATAGTGATGGAAATCTAATCCCCAAGGATCCCTTTGGAAGAGGTAAGACCAAGAAGGGTGAAGGTTGATCCAAGGAGGCTCACACTTGAAGACCATTGGGCCTTTAACTAGGTCCATGGTTAGGAGGCTAGAGGAGGCTTCTACAGAGGAGGTGCTTCTTAGACCTATGCTCAATATGAGTATTGAGTATGATTCCTCTTTTTAGTCTCATAGTCTCTATTGTACATACATTGTATAGTTTGATTTCTTGTACCTTGTATATAGTAGATACTTGTATATGTGTATTTTGCCTTTGTATTTGTGAGGCACTTTATTTCTTTTATTTTAGGAATTTAGGGTATGTTACTTGGAGACTTTTTCTCCATTTGACCTTGTATTAAGAGTTATTAATTTTTGTATTTTTCAGTAATAGAAGTGGAGTGACAAATAGCAAAGAGTGTAGGTGCAACTAGTAATTGGGCTAGAATTGGGCCTAGGCCAAATTTTACATATTGGGCTTGTTTTGCTCCATTTTCCAAGGAATTGATTTAGCTAGGTCTCACCATCATATGGTGAACCTAACTAAACCAACTCTAAGTTTTTGGATTGGATTAAATATGGAAAAACAAGTGGGTCACCTAGCTTGCCTTCCTTTGGCCAAAATTGCTTAGTTGCTTGTACACTTGGGACATTACGAGTAGGTTTAATTAAAGGAAGATCATCAAGTGGCAGGTCTTCCTCATTTAAGTCTTCACTAGTAGGTGGTGAATTAACATTAGGTGTTCCTATAGCATTTGGGGATGGAGATGGTGTGGATGTCGCACCTGGGGATGGAGATGGTGTAGAACGAATAGCTATGGATGAGGATGACATACAACCAATGACTGGGAATGAGGATGGTCTAGATGCCACAACTAGGGATGGGATAGATGATGTGAAGTTGTCTCTACGTGACAATACTTTAATCTCATATCGCTTCTTCCCCTTCATTACCTGTTTCCCCTTATTCCCGCTAGGCGACGGTGGACGGGGAGGGTCACAACCTCCTGATGACATATCTATTCATTGAAAATAAAGTTACAAAATAATACCCAAAATGAAACTATAATATAAAAATAGACAACAAATCAAATTTATTATACTAGTTGCATAATTATGTTTATACACTTTGATATCAAAATCATACACTTCAAATCCAATTTTTCTAATCCTATTCCGAAATATAGTCTTCAAACTCATCTTCAAAATCATCATCAAATTCATTGTCTTCATTGTTTTCTGCCAAATCATTTTCTTCATTGATTAGCTCATTAACTTCTTCAAGATCAGCTTCTAAATCTTGTAATCCCGTAATTCCTTCAACTTCAATGACTTCATTGGCATGTAACATTTCATCTACTTGATAAGGTACATCATGTTCTATATCATTAGATTCTATCCTACCCCTTGGCTTTGTTTTGATTGCAACACACCAACCACGTTTGTCCCTTCGTGTTGCAGGATAAGGGGCATAATACACTTGTCTTACATTGTGTGCAATGATAAACGGATCAAATAGTTGATATCTATGATTAATCTATTAGTTTCAAGCTCTTAAATTTGATTAAAAAATATTGTAACTAATTTTTTAAAATAAAAGGGTATAATGGTCAAAAAAAGTGGAGACAAAGGTAGTTACTGAAAAGGGTATCCCCTTTATATATTAGTATAAATTTTTAAAATAAAAGGTATAATGCTAAAAAAAAGTGAAGACTAACATAATTACTGAAAAGGGTATCCCTTTATATGTTAGAATAGATATACAATTTTTTTAAAAATTTATTTTAATTTCTAATATATTATGAATGATATATTTTATTATTTATAATATTAACATTACATTTCAATCTACTAATTGAATTTTAACATTAAATTTTTAAAGAAAAGTTACAATTGACTTAAACACTTAAAATATATTTAAATATACAATTTTTATCTGTACAAATGAATTTTAGGAACTTAAATTAATAAAAAAATTAACAATTCAAAAATAATAATTTTATCTTTATAGTAAAAAATTTGAATTAATGAAATATTATGATCATATTGTAAAACTTCAATTTTAAAATAAAAATATATTATATTCAAAAAAAATTATTTAAAGAACTTAATTTCTTACATTAATAAATATAATTGACATAAATTATTTAGAAGAGAAGTCTTGTTTGATTAAATAATTATCTAATTAATTACAAATTTTTGTACAATTAATTCATTTTTTATTAATTCTTATTAGATATTTTAAATGATTTAATTATTTTATGCTATCATTTAATTATAAATTATATATATATAATAGTTGGTATGAAAAATTAATTAGTATTATAAAATTTATTAATATTTAATAATTTAATTTATTAATCTTTTATCATCATATTTTTTAAAGTTATTAACGAATATTTTTAATTTTCCACGAATGACATTTTAGACGAATAATTTGTAGGAAATATTTGCCAAAAATATCATAATTTTCCCACGGATATAATCCGTGGGTAAGACCGTCTGAAATATACATCCTAATTTTCCCACGGAAAAAATCCGTGGGTAATAGCATCTGAAATTTCAGACGGAACATATCCGTGGGAAATATCAGTCTGAAACATCATAATTTTCCCACGGACTAAATCCGTCGGTAAGGTTATTTGAAATTTCAGACGGAAAGAATCCGTGGGTAATATCCGTCAGTAATGTCATTTTTCCCACGGATATTTATCCGTGGGAAAAAATCCATGGGTAATGAGTATTTTTCTTGTAGTGTTTATAAGACAAATAAACAATACATACACTCATTATATCATCGAAATTCAAATTGAATGTACCGATCACTGTCAATTGTTGTTTAATGTTTAAATCAAATTAATGGTTTAATACTATACAGTATTGAATAAGGTCATCTACAACTTTTATTAAAACTGTGGATCTTTCGATCCCAATGCTTGGTCAACAAATTAGAACTCACGGCAATCATCGATTGTGATGGAAAAAATTAAATATATTTTTAATTTTTATAAAATAATAAATTTTAATTTTAAATTTTATGTTTAAAAGATTGAAATCATTGTTTTATTTTATTTTATTTTTATTATATTTTAATTTTTTTAATCTTTTAAATATGGAATAAACTTATTTTATTGTTAAATTTAAAAATTAATTTTAGTCTCTTTGTTCGAATACTTTTATTGAATACAAAATATAAAAAATTCATCTATTATTAAATTTATTATACAAAACCTATCGGTATAGTATCTTTATTATTGAAAATATTATAATAAATCCAACTAATCGTACAACTAACTTAATCCATCATTTCATAGGTATCAATGATCCTAGAAAGACTCAAAAAAACTTTTTTTTTTTTAATTTCTAGAAACTAACAAGACCAATCTAAATTTAAAGAATAAAAATAAATTTGTTGCAAATTTAAAATACCAAAATCATATTTAAATCTTTGATTATTTAACACTCGTTAATCGTTAAAAATCTCACCACTAGAATCATCTTCTTCTGTCTCAAAAAATAAAAAATATGGTAAGAAGAAGAATATTCCTCTTGTAAGAACAAGAATATTCATCAACATTAGTGAGTATAACCATTTAGTATTTCATAATCAAGTTATACTCGAGATTCTTGATTCGTATGGAGACCATAGAAAAAATATATTTATATATATAACCAAGACTTGGAAAAACACCCTCTCAGAAAAAGACTTGGAAAAAAACCCTCTCAAAAAAAGACTTGGAAAAAAAAATCTGGTAATTTGTTTATGAATTTCGTCGTAACAGCAGTTCATAAACATCTGCGTGTTTCGTCAAGTGGAGAAATGGACAAGAAACCAAGTCAAGCCCCCCAAATATCTATACTCATCGGACATACTCTACAATTCTCATTCTATCATTGTTCTTCACAATTGTGTTATGTGCATCCAAATGAGAACTCCTTCTCCTTCTCCTCTCACGCTTCTTATCTGCAACCTATTCTTATTATCACTCTTCTCTCAAATTTCACATGCAACTGACACCATCACCCAGGACCAGCCACTCTCCGAGGGCACAACCTTGGTTTCGAGAGACGGAACCTTCGAGTTGGGTTTCTTCAACCCGGGAGCCTCCAACAACCGCTACGTGGGAATATGGTACAAAAACATCGCTGTCAGAACCGTTGTTTGGGTCGCCAACCGCGACAACCCTATCAAAGACAACTCCACCAACGCCAGGTTACTCATAACCCAACATGGAAACCTCGTAGTCCGCACCGACAACGACACTCTCCTCTGGACAACAAACGCAACCACGAAGCTTTCGAATCCAATTGCGCAGCTCTTGGACACGGGAAACTTGGTGATAAGAGATGCCAAGGAAGAGAGCGTTTTGGTGTGGCAAAGCTTTGACTTTCCTTGCGACACGCTTTTATCGGGAATGAAGCTTGGGTGGGACCTGAGAAGGGGTCTTAACCGGCGTCTTACTTCTTGGAGAAACTGGGACGACCCATCTTCGGGGAACTTGGTTTTGGAAGTGACGTTAGGAAGCAATCCTGAAATTGTGACATGGAAGGGTGGCGTTGAGTACTTCAGGACTGGGCCTTATAATGGGCTTCAGTTCAGTGGAGTCTACGGGCCCAGGAACAACCCGCTTTACGATTACGTCTTTGTCAACAACCAAGACGAAGTCTACTTCCAATACATCCTCAGGAATAGTTCCGTTGTTTCTTTAATCGTCATGAACCAAACCCTTAGTCTTCGTCAACGTCTCACTTGGATTCCCGAAACAAAGACTTGGACCGTTTACCAGTCCTTGCCGCGGGATAGTTGTGATGTTTACAACGTTTGTGGGCCCAATGGGAACTGCCTCATTGCTGGGTCGCCCATTTGCGAGTGTTTAGAGGGGTTTGGGCCGAAGTCGGCCCAGCAGTGGAACGCGATGGACTGGAGGCAAGGGTGTGTGCGCAGTGGAGAGTGGAGGTGTGGGGTTAAAGATAAAGATGGGTTTCGTAGGATTGGTAGTATGAAATTGCCGAATACTACGTTTTCTTGGGTTAATGAAAGTATGACACTTGAGGAGTGCAGGGTCAAGTGTTTGAAAAATTGTTCGTGCACGGCTTATTCGAACTTGGACACGAGGGGAAGAGGTAGTGGGTGTTCCATTTGGGTTGGTGATCTTATTGATTTGAGGGTTGTAGAAAGTGGGCAAGATTTATATGTTCGAATTGCAACTTCGGATACGGGTAAGGACCAATATTTATATATAAATAAAAAAGAACAATTTAATATACTTAATTTTCATTTTATATAAAATATACACAATATTTATTAACATATCTTTAATCATATTTATTATAATTAGTGTTCTCATTTATTATCTTAAGAGTATTTTTGGATTAAAAATATTAAATAATATTGACTTCAAGAGTGTAAACAGGTTAGGTTGGGTTAAGTTTGGATGAATAAATTATCCAACTTAATAGATTAGATTGAGTTAGATTTATGTAATTATTTTTTGAAATCCAATCCAACCCAACTCAATTATAAATAAATTAGGTCAATTGACTCAACACAATTAAATTTATTTACTTTTTTTTTTTTTATAAAAATTTAAATATTTCATAATAAGTGTAAATCGTTTGATATTTTGTTGTAAATGTAATACTATCAGACTAATAAAATAAATAATGATACAAATTAAATTTTAAAATAAATTTATTGATTTGTTACATTGTTATCGATCCAAACAACCAACATTAATCCAAGATAAAATTAAAATAAATATGTTCTATTGTTATAATGTTATTAACAAAATAACACAATATTCATTACTAAATAAGAGTGATAGAGGATATTGTCAGAGAATATTGTCTTTAGCAAGAATATTGTCTTCAACAAGTGATCACATAAACTTATTGTTATTATTATTAGATCATGGGTCAAAAAAAAAATACAAAATTCATTATCCGATTCATACATTATCAAATTTTGACCGGGTTGGATAAAGTCTGATCCAAACATTAAAAAATTACTATCTAAACTCATTGGGTCAGTTTGGATGAATTCAGATTCACGAGTTATCCATATTTACTTATAATTGACTTGGTTGAAATTTTTCTATATTTAAATAATTTTTTTAAAGTAATTATTTGTTTATCTATAATTACATAGAGAGTAGTGGTAATCCTCTAATATTTAACTTTCTATTATTGGTATTGTATTAGTTAAAGGGTCGTTACTTTGTTGTTGAGTCACTAGTGGTGCTTCAGTTATTATCCAACCTATAAATGCAGATGGTAAACATGGGAATCAGAAAAAGGTTGTCGTGGTAGCGGTTGCTATCGTAGCTTCGTTGGTCTCTCTGATGTTATTGGCATTCTGTATTTATATGACCAGAAAAAGATATAAAGGTAAACTTCTTAGCCAGAGTACTTCATTTATTTCACAAATATATAATTTAATTCAACATCTACAATGTATTAAACAGAACATCTTCCACACACGGTGAACCTCATGAATTAATTACTTTTTGTTTCACGTTTTTAGGCATTTAGATGTCTTTTCTCCCTTCCCAGTAAAGTGAGATTACAACAAAATTTGTTTTTAAAGTAATGTTAGAAACACATTGCCAAATTATAAGTAAATATTATTAATATGTTTTTTTTTATATATTTTATTAAATATAATATAAAATTTGTTATTAAACACTTTTAATATTTTTTTTTACATATTAATTATAATATTTTTAAAAATGTTATCAGTGATATTTTATATACTTTATTAAATGATAACTTGTATTAATATACATTATACTACCACTTATACTTTATGATTTTTATCTACAAGTTCCTTAAGGTTGAAAATATACTATGTTTTCTTGTTTCGATAAGAGAAAATATCTTAATTCACCACTACATCTAGATCATATATCAAAGTTTATTTATCTTAAGTTTTATTTTATGGTTTTAGTTATATAAACTCTTTATATATGATTATTTTACTTGATATGAGACTTTAATTTTGGGATACAATTAGAGATTAGAGAAATATTATATATATATATATATATATATGTATATCATTTTTTTACTTGATGGGGACTTAATTTTGAGAAATTATTTAATAACGAGTGTTACTTTATCTATAGTAGCATTTTTTTGAAAAAAAAATGATGCAATAAATTATTAACTTATAGGAACATTTTAATAATTGTAAGTAAGCAAATGTAGCTAAAGATGTTAAATGTAGTAGTGTGAACTTGATAAATTAGAATGTATTATTGTTGTAAATATTTGTCCATGTACTTAAGGGTAACAAAACTAGATCGGCCTGTTTTGGCCCACCTTTTCACTGGCCTGCCAAAAATAGGATAAGGTGGGCTAACTTGCTAGTTGAGAGTGAACTTGAAATCTTAATTCACCTTGCTTAGAAGTGGGTTGACATGTTGACAAACCAATTTTTTATTTATTTTACCATTAATTTAAATTGACAAATTTAATTTTTATTTATAACAATTGACAAATTTAATCAAAGGATCTATGACATAAATTTGTCTTTTAGCTTCAAAATTACAACACAAAAATAATAAATTACTCATTAGTAAAAGTCTTTCTTTTTCAATCAAGATTAATATTAGTAGTCTTTCAATAACGCAATTATAATAATTCTCAAGAGCTACAACAAAATACTTATAGTCCTTTACTAATAAGACATGTATCACAACACAAAGTGACACACATGCACTATATTTTACAAAATAAATAAAATAATAATAATATTTAATTGAGCTAGTAGGCCAACTCGTTCGAACTACTATTTGGTTTGTTAGAGTAATGAGTTAGGTGAGCTAACGAGCTAACATGTCCACTTCATTCGTTAAATTTTGGTAGGCAAGCTCATTAGGCAACAACTTATTTTTTTACACCTACATGTACTGCTAAATGTATTTAAGATACAACATTGTTAGTTTTAATATTGTATTAAAACTACGGTTTAATACATCATTTAGTCTCTGGAATTTTTGAAAACTTACAATTAGGTCTCTAAACTTAAAGAAGTTGTCATTAGGTCCTTCATCTTTTATATTTTTTAATCCCTCAAATTATAAATTCAATTATAATATGTGAAATTTCATAAAATATTCTTTATATTATTCACAAAGTATTCTTTATATTATTATTCCATATCATTGTTTGTGTATAAAATATGAAGATATAAAGAATATTGTGTGAAATTTTATGAGTTGTAAACAAATTTCTAACTTCAAGGACTATATTATAAAAATATTAAAAAATTCTACAATATTTAAGGCTTAAATAATGTATTAAACCTAAAATTAATAATGTAATTCGTTACTCACTATGTAGTCGACGATT